CTCCTCCTCCTCCTCCTCCTCCTCCTCCCCCTCCTCCACGTACGTGCTGGCCGCGCTCTTCAGTCGGTGTGCAAGTCTTGGTGGGTGACCGTCGACCAGGCTGTACACGGTGTCGGTTCGGCTGCCCAAAGAGAGTGGAGGGTGCAGCTTGATTGCCCTTGCCAACTCCTTTCTTCGGCCGTGGACCAAGGCGATATCTACGATTTCGAGGGTTTGGTTGGCCAACGCAGACGTGCCTAACCTCTGGGGCACAGGCGGAGCTGGCAGGACGTCGTCGGCAGCGGCCTTCCACCACAACCTCACAGCGGAGATTGCGACCCTCAACGGAGGGCACAGCGTCACGGTGCTCCTGAACGCCCGGAAGGCGTTCGACAGCCTCATAGGGAAGCAGGTGCTGCGCGAGGCTGAGCACATGGGCGACCCGCTGCGCCTCATGTGGGCGATCCTCAGGTACCACCACTTGCCGAGGCGCCTGAAGACATTCGGCTCGCTCTCGAAGAGCTACGTGGCGCACCAGGGCATCCTCGCGAGCTGCTCCCACTCGATGGCGGTGTTGGTGGTGGCGTCGGCCAGGGCACTCCAGCGGTTGGCCAAGTGCGACCTCATCCCGAGGACCCTGGCCGACGACACCTCCGTGCAGTGGGTCGGCGTGGGCCTGCAAAGAGTGCGCGTGCTCTGGGAGGCCGTCAAGCGCCACAAGCACGACGTTGAGGACGCAGGGCTGGTGCTGCAGGTGCTCAAGTCTGGCTACGTGGCGTCGACGAGGCAGGGGAGGGTGACCGCCGAGCCCTCCGCCAAGCGGGTCATGATCGGAGCCTGCCAGCACATGCGCAACCTGGGCCACGACCTGAATGGGTCCAAAGCGCGGAGGAAGGTCGCCAGGAACAGGCTCAGGAAGCTGCGGCCACGCATGCGACGGGCGATGAGGCTGAAGCGGGCTGCAGGTGCCAAGGTGTCGTGCTTGTGGCAGACGGGGCTCCTGCCAGCTGCGGCCCACGGTGCTGCCGTGGGTGGGGTGGCCCCGTCCGAGCTGGCTGCGATGCGCACCGAGGGCGCGCGGTTTGCAGGTGCCAAGGGCCGAGGAGGCAGCATCGCGCTCTACCTCGCTTGCCAGAAGAACGCGTACTACGAATGGTCAAGCCGCTCATGTACTATGCGAGGGTGATCTGGCAGCAGGAGACCCGCCTGGGTGCGATGCGGCGTGCCTGGCGAGTGCTGCTGGATAGGGTCGAAGCTGGCGGGGACAAATTGACGTGGGCGTCGGCACGAGGCCCGCTCAAGGTAGTCATCCTCTCGCTCAAACGGATCGGTTGGGTCATGCTTTCGTCGCTCATGATCAAGCTAGGTGAGGGGCCAGTGATTTCACCCCTGGCCACACCGCCTCGATTTGTTCGTGATCTAGGTCGGCGTCGGTGACGGGAGCGGGACGGGTGGGAACACTCCGCGGCCTGTGGACTGATTCTCTTTGGCCAAGGCTAAGCTCTATAAGCACGGTCTGTGTGGTGATCAGAGGTGTAGAGCTTGTCCGCATGAGGCCGAGACGCTAGGCCATGCTTTCATCGAGCGCCCTGCGCTGACTCTGCGCCTGCTTGATGATGAAGAAGACTGGCCTCGACCCGAGCCGGGCGGCAGCCCGTGATGTTATGTTAGAGCAGGGGCCGGTCGGCGAGGGGCTGCAAGATCTCGATTCGTTTGCTATCATCATCGGGATCCCGCGGTGGCACAACATTGAGGTGCCGCAGCATTGAGGTGCCGCAGCCGCCGAGCGACCCCCCTTGCTTATTTTCTGGGGTGGCTGGGGCTCGCAAGAAGAATTATGGAGTGACTGTGTTTGTTCTACCGACGGTTCTGGCTATCACTATGGTGTTCCAGAGCTGCGTCGGTGCGGCTGGCCAGCCGTCATGCCGAACGCCAATGGAGTCCTTGTGCGCGCTGTGTATGGC